GGGGGGGGGGGGTGTGTGTGTGGAAGAGAAAAGTAGAAAAATTGCATAACTAAGACTTCGGTCAAAGAATATCAGGCTGGGGTTGTGGGTGGAAGTAGATTACGACAGAGAAGGGAGACGGATTAGATTTTGTACTCTGAAACTTTGAGGAAGGGGGTAAGTTCAATGTTGAACGTGACAATGGCGGTACACATGTACTTTGTCTGTCTTTTCTTTGCTTTGAACTCACTCTTCTACTCCATCACAGGACTTTCGGAATTTCTTTCTTTCTAACAAGAAGATCCTTCCAGCTGACCTTGAACTCCTTTCACAGCGTAGCTATGAAATCCTTACATGTATCACGACATGGCAAAAGTAACTTATCTAACCTTACCTGGCTGAAATACAACCTCGTTCTGACCGTCCTGGAGGAGGCTTGGGTCTGAGCAACTCGTCACCCTGATGAGAATCTTCACTCGTCTCCAAGTCACCATGGTCCCGTGTGTCCGGGTAATCACTAGGTTCTTCTAGTGCCCAGTAATCGTCGACCACGTCGTCCGCAAAGTCTGGTTCCCCTTCATCGTTATTAAAGAGTTCATTTAAAGTAGGTATTTTAGGCTCGGCGACATCAAGTGACTGTTCGCCTTCTTCGCGGCCTATGTTAGCCTCATTTAAACTCTCTTTGGCATTGTTCAAGTTCTCGGCAGGCTTTTCTGGCTGGCCTTCAGAGAAGAAATTATTATCAAGGTTTTCTTCTCCGGAGTACAGTGGTTCACTATACTCAGGCGTATCTTCGTTGTGATCGCCAATAAAGAAGAGTACATTCTTATCTTGTTTGCTTAACTCCTCCGAAATCTGTGGAATTTCATTTATCATTGCCTCGTCATTTTTCTCATATGTTGTTTCTTTCGTTCCTAGTAACGTTTCAATGACATGTTTCTCGTTTGAAACAACCGAATCCTCGTTACCTCCATTTGATAAGGAAACAATACGTCTGTCGTTACTTTCACCTTTATCTTCTTGCGAGGGTCGCGAATCATTGCGATCTGCCTTATCTTCTTCATCCAAGGGAAACTCTGTGCCATTTTCTTCGTTAGAATTCTCGCCCTCTGAAGCGTGTGAAAATGATGAATTGCAATCTGCTGCGGGAGCAACTTCGGTGTCTCCCAAAATAAACCCAACTTCGCTGTCCCTGAAGTGCAAATCCCTGCAAGTAGTGACGGCAGCCATGGCTGATCCCGGCATGTGAAGAGCGTGGTGCGAATGAGAAGACCCGTCGTGCTTGTCTGACACGAATTCCGCCGAATCAAGTCTGTATTCGTCCACGCCAGGGGAGGGAGGAACGTTGTCTGCCGGCTCGACGGGTGGTTCGTCCATCATCTGCTCTAAAACAGAGGGAACACGGAATAGACCTCTGTTCTCTGCAACCTCCGCCGGCTCCTCCTCGACCATTTGCTCAAGTATGGACGGCACACGGAACAAATTTCTGGAGGGTCCTTCATGAGAATCTCCCGCAGACCTATGATCCAGTTTATGACTGCTAACCTCGTCATGAGTTTTCTTGTCGTCACTGCTATGTCTGACGGGCTCAGAGTCCAGCGGTAACTCTCGCAAGTGCTTCTTCATGTCGTCATGGTGATGGTGATGGGATGACAAATGATGACTGCTCCCTACTTGTCTCTCCTTCCTGCCTACATTAGCCAGCTCCTCCAATTCCTCCACACATTCTGTTTCTACCACCGGTGGGGGCATGTATACAACTGGCTGGTCCTCGACCACCCCAGGGGACCACAGAGACGCAAATCGCCTTTCCTCCACTTCCTCGATAAGTTCCGGTTTCGCCTCAACTCCGCAAACATCAACTTCAGCTGGTTTGGAGTCTGGCAATGACAGTTCTCTAATAACAGATAGAGAAGTACCCGGTACCTGAATCCCAACAGAGGGGGAGTCTTGGGATATTAGCATCGTAGGGGAAGTTTGTTCCCTTTTGAATTCAGTTTCTAACGAAGCCACCCCTATTTTCCTCTGTGGCAGATTTGGAGAATTAATATCTTCGACTTTATCCAAGTCCATTCCACCTACTTCCACAGCCACATTCGTCTCCATCGTTGGTTTCCCTGAATCATCGGGATCATTCACATCCAGTGTCCTATTTTGCTGATCGTTCATTCTGACTTGAGGAACAGGTATAATTTCGATCTCCTTATAGTCTGGTTCATCGACCATGCGCTGGTTTTCTTCGCCACCAATCTTTGCCATTTGGACATCTTGAACGATTGCTGAAATCAGTGTTGGCGTTTCCAGTTTTATTTCTCCATTCACTGATTTCTCCTACAAGGAAAAGGATGTGAGGTCAAATTTCTTGCAATTATTGAGTTTCGTGGGCTCTCGTGCTCCTCTGCTTAACCCTTTACATCCTAAGATCAGCATGCACATTCTCTATACTGTTTTCTATACATTTCCTAATGTGCTGACAAGGAGATTTTGCTTAACAATCAAGAGCTCCTGTACTTGTTGATCATTTCCATTATTCTCATGACCTTAATGTTTGATTCAGGTGTGATACTGTAAGGAGAGATTAGATGCTATTCACTCTTAGGGGTTAAAGGCTTAACAAAGGGTTTCCGTTTGATACAGATTCTGGAATTTATAGTTACAGGTATGTTAAGTCTGCATTCGTGTCAAGTGGCCCATCCACTCGGAACTTCTCCCAATCTCTGTACATGAAGCGACTAGAAGTAGTATTACCCCACCCCACCCCCACCCCCCATGGGATGTTAGTCGATCGCGGGTGGAGTATACTCTATTTAAAGTGCATGAAATGATTCATAAGACTACACGAAAATCATTAGATTAATATACATCAAAACATTTATACCTGTTTGGTCGCCTTTTGAAAAACAGCCTGGGGCTTCAAGAAATTCCCATTTTCTTTTTCCACAGCGTCCAATACTTCTCTTATCTTTTGTATCACTCCTCTGTCTGTTGTGCCAAACTTGTAGTAAGTGTTGCCATTCTTCGGAACGTTATCCTTTCTGTTCGCTTCATTGCCATGCTCGGCACTGTGATCTTCCAACATGTCCATACTGGGCGACACTCGGTCCGAGGCATGATGGTTCGGCGGACCGGGCTTGTTATCCGGAGGGGTTGTGTATATTTGCCCCACGGGAGGAGTGCTGGTGGTTGTTGTGGCCTGTGAAACATCACACGGCATTTTCTCCCAGTCAAACGGGTCGCTTTCTTTTATACTCTTCTTAGCGATCGCTTTCTCCACAATGGAAATGAGCATCTGCAAGGAAGAATGACAATGAAATAGAGGATATCCATTTTGACTGTCAGCACTTCCTAGACTACGAGCAGTCCTTCCTTTTCGGAGAAGTCCGACGCGCAAGTCCGAAAAAAATCAGCAAAAAAAAAAAAAAAAAAAGATTGGGGTTGGCGCATCGCGGTCTTCACCGAAAAGGAAGGACTACTTGTGGTTTTTAAAAGCTCTCACAAGATCTGAGACTTTTTTTTTCCACCCAGCTGATTATAACTGATTTTATGGTTGGCTTTTCAGTCCTAGAGCGTTGCTGAAGGATCAAAACAATATTACTTGGTTTAAAATTTTCCCAACCTGATTTGGATATTACAATAACCTGTCTACTTAAAAGTGTATCAGAATCACAAGGAGAGTTGAACATCTTTTTGTTTTTTGTGAACACTCTAGAGCCTTCTGGAAAGAAATCTCTAGTTGGTTACATGAATGCGGTATTGAAACGCTTCCTGATCTAACAGATCAAATTAATATTATGTTTGGCTTATTTGATGTCGGTAATCACTTTATGCTTTTAAATCACATCATGTTAATAGCGAAGTAGACCATCTTTCTCTGCAGACAGAAATCTATTACCCCAAGCTTTATTATCTTCCTCGCGCACCTTAAAAAAATTTTTAGAATAGAAGAATACCTAGCTAAAGAAAAGAAAAAACTAAACTTGCACTTAATGAAATGGGAAAAACTTTTACAATCACTCAGTTGAAATAACTTTACCTTGGGTAGCCTTGTATTAATATTTTTGTTTATTTATTTATTTACTGACCTTATACAATTTTATTTACTTTATACTGCTGTAATTTTCTTTTCTTTTTTCTTTTTTTTTTTTTTTTTAAAAATGTAAAACGGAAAAACATAATAAAATATAAAAAAAAAACAAGGAGAGGTTATAACAATTTACTTAGCCGGCGATTTAGACAGTAATGAGAAGTAATACAGGCGGGAAGCTTTACCGCTCACCGCCCGGAAAGGAGAACACTTAGTACATGTATTTGGGGACAACTGCGGAACCATAATTCAAATCAAATTGATGCTTGTTCTTTCACCTTGTAATCTGGCTTGTCTTCATACTTCAGCTTGTAGATGTGATCCAGAAATTGTTTAAAGCCCAAAGGAAGCGACTTCAGAAACAACTGATGGTCGTAACTTTTCTTCATTTTTCCAACTTGTTCCTGTACAATATTTTCATCATTATTAGTATGATTGGCTGAATGACACACACATTGAAGGACAGATGCATAGAGATGTCACCATTCACAACATTTTGCTTTGTTACCAAATAAAACAAAGAGATTCCATGTTGCCGTGAGTGTGTTCAGTAACAGATCACAGAAGACGTTAACACGTGGTAAGAACATCGGTGTTCATCCCATTACAGTTTCCTGACTTGATGATGACGTCCAAACAATAAAGTGAAGGTCAATGTCTGGATAGGAACGTGTAAAATATCTACATGTTATGTACCTTATCCTTCATTTTTCTCCATGGTAGATGTCCATTTGCAAACTCTGCCATCATGTAGAAGAATGACCACAAATCATCCTGTCTTCCCATTTCCTGTCAAAGAAACAGACGCTTTACCTTTAATTCAATGAGACAAAACCAAGTGACCATTCACTTCTTCAGTAATATCATGACAACACCGTTTCTTTGCTCACTGCCTTTGAGTCTGGATAAAAAAATTAACACCAACGTTTACTTGTGCATTTCTGGACATAAAAGGTGAGTATACCATAATCCATCTTTTTTTTTTTAAATGTTGTGCCTGACACAGCATTGCATTGCAGGATTATGAGGAAGTTTGAGGAGGGAGGTTTTATCATTAACACACCCGACTGATTGCCATAGATTTCTAAAGAAATTAAAAGGAAAACTTCTGTAGAATGGATACAAGGGCATGTTTTGCTCACCTTATTGTCATGAGCATTGATGGATGCATACCGAACAGTCCCTCTAAACCCTGCAGAGCTCCTTGCCTTGGAAAAAAAACAAATAAGCACAAAACAATAAAAAGTCATCTTACCCAATATGGCCTTAACTTACTAAACCATTGATAAAATAGCCTGACTTCAAGGCCCTGGCCACACCACTGTTAGAGACTTGACCCATCACTCTCACAGGGCCTCCCATCACTCATGGGTACCAATGGGTACCAGCAAATTTTCAGGAAACCTGAGAAAGTGCTATGGGGTAACACCCTCTGTGACACATTGTCATCCCATCCAGAAGAGCCCAGCAACACTACTAGTTGCTTCAAACAACAAAAAACTGAGAAAAGTTCTTCTATGATAAGCCTACCAGCTCATTTGCTGAATTTTGAGAATTCTCTCCTTCCATACTATAATAACAAGTTGGTTTTAACTGAAATAAAACAACAGTTTTCTAAATTGCTATTGAAAACCACTCAGTGAAACTTTTCTTTTTTCTGAAAGGATGCAGAAATCTTTTCTGCCCATCTAGGGAGAAATTTTAAAGGAAATTTTAAAGATGTACTGTCTAGCAGCCTTGATGCTGCTAGCCATTGGAGATATTGGTACTTACTGGTCTCACGTCGCCATTGCTTTTGGTGTACTGCCGCGCCAGACCAAAATCTAACATGAAGCAGGAATGGCAAGTGTCTGGTGTATTGCCCATTGCAAAATTAGACTGAAAATATAACAATCTCATCAAAAAAAATATAATTTTGCACTTTAATCTTGGTTTTGCTTAAAGTAGCACTATAAAAGGAACCTTGTCAATAAGAGGTCTGATTGAAATATGAGTGTCCTCTCAAACAATCCATTACCAAGCAGAGAGATAAACATGCCATGGAAAAACTTTGAAATATCCAAAAATAATTTATCCTTACAGTACCCACATTTTTTCCAAAGAGGTGATCAGAAGTTAGAGATCCATCACCCAGGGATTATAAACTGATTAATAATATGTAACAAACTCTTAGATCCTTAGCAGACAGTGTAGAGAACTGATAATACAGGTGTAAATTCTTGGGAGCAAATGGGTTAAGAACTCATCTACACATCAACTAACATAGCACTAGACAGTTGCAAGATTGTAATGGATAATAAACCCAGTAAAACAAGTTAGGCAAGGCTAGCTTTGGACCTGAAGCACATTTTGTACCATTATTGTACAAACTATGTTTTAGATCCGGAGCTAGCCTTCTTTAGTCAATGATACAAAACAAATGCTTTAATGCTGAAAAAACACTGATTTTACAATAAAGCTCAAAAAATCTTAAAACCATAAATATTTCTAGAACATTTTTGTGTAAGGGAGATCAAACAAATAAGTGATAAAACCGGCCTGTAATAACTACATGGCCTTCTGATCTTTCATGTAATTGGTTGTAACACAAAACAAATTCCAGATATATTTCAGGTGCTCATTGTTTTCCGAGTTTTATCCAATCTTAACTAGTTTTTAAGCCTATGTCCTTGTACACCATCTCCAGTTAAAATGTTTTCTCTAAAATAATAATAATATTATAATGGTCCATACATACAGGTTTAATGTCACGATGTAAAAATCCAGCTTCATGGATGGCTTTTATAGACCGTAAAATCTGAAAACCAAGTCTCAGCATAGTGCTTTGAGAAAAGACTCCCTTGGGCTGGCTTCGACGTAACTCAGCAAGGTTTGAGCCTTGTAGTGACATCACAAGATAGTTGAAATTCTCATTTCTGCCACAGCTTATAAACTTGCAAACGTGGCTACAGCCTACAGCAAATAAAGTTAAATAAAGTTAAACATAGTCAAACAAGTTGTAAGTACAAACTTTGTAAAATGAAACAGTCATGCCTTTCTTAATGAACACTTCAACAAAGCACTTTCCTTTTAAAGGTCAGGCAAGAGCATATACCCTTGCACAAGGATCTTCATAAATGGGCAACAATTAAAATTTTAGTACTTCACAGCCAATCTATTGGACCCATCTTTAGTTAATAACTGCAAATGACTAAGCAAAACCCTGCACAATGACTAGCACAGTTAACCAGCTAGCTCTTTATTAGCATAATTTTCAAGACTTTGGATTCAAGAGTGAATAGGGCTGGCATAAAAAGAAAATTTAATTATATAATAGTAAAAATTCCCTTACCCTGGAGCTTCTTCAGCACAGCCACCTCCATTTTGAGGACTTGTTTGGACTGGTTTACAGACTCCACCTTCAGGGCGACTGATTCCTTTGAAACAAAATCCAAGGAAGAGTAGATCTCCCCTAAAATTTAAATAAGGTTACAAAATTAAATTTAGATGATCAATGATTCTCCCCTAGTAACAATGTATAGTCCACTCAAAATGCCAGAAAGTTCCCTTAAGTGACATTTAAAATTTTGAGGTAAAAACCAATATATAAAATACAATGGTGGAAAAAAAATGCCTGCAACTGCCACCCAATAGCAATCTTCTCAACACACAATCATACTTTTTTGGATTTTACACTACAATAGTTCACTACTAAAAGAATGCAAAACTGGTCTTTTATATTCCATTCACAATCAACTGACAAACTCATTTGACTCTGACAATGACTTCTTTACTTCTCAACAAAGAGATCACATAATATGCCAATAATATCAAAATAATCCTTGCAAATGGTAATTTTTTTTTTATAAGAAACATGCATACACATGTACAAATTTGTGATTCTTAAAGTTTTTCATTGGCACAACTAATTTGATCAACTGACAATTCTTTCACAAAGTTATTGACAGGATTATATTTTATGTGCAAAACTGGCTTCTCAACCATCGATATTACCTTTCCGTCTAAATTTTAAAAACATCATTCTGCCACTTAAGTTTCACGTAATAAATAACACTTTATGACACAGGCAGAAATTAACATCTTTGCCAATATACAATGTATTAACAAACTGAACAACCACAGTGACGTAGTTATCCAATAAGGAAAATAGTACATTTCAAGTATGTTCATGTCGTAGTAGGAAGTGATTAGTGCCCTTGAGAAGTAACTACGTAAGGGCAAGTTAATTGTTATTCATTTTAAATTAAACTTTTGCCTTTATCTGTATTGACAAGTGTCAAAAATAACATGTGTTAGAGTCTACTGACATCTTTTATTCTGAGAGTCAGAGATGTCACATGACTATGATATCAGTAGAGTTCAAGAGGATATGTAGCTGTAAAAAACAAAGATAGCAAAGTAAGGCATAATTCAGTCCAAGTGGGCAAGTTAAGGTCTGATTGATCCAGCATTACAAATAACTGTTCATCATTTTCAATATTTTCAACATTTAGTCTTCAGGTTTACCATTAATTAAAGCTAAACATGTCAAGTGTTGTTAATTTCTGATTTCAGAAGTGAATATATATTGATCCCTTTTTCAGTATTTAGTTGTTTGCCAAGTCATCCCAATTATAGCATGCAAGTAGGAACATACTAGAAGTCAGGATCTCTTAAAGCAATTCTCATGGAACAAATGCATGTGTTACAACTTGAAGTAGTCAGAACTCAGCTATAATAAATTTTTTTTTTTGGGGGGGGGGGGAAAGGTCTGAATAAGGATATGCTGCAACAGGAAGACTGTTGAACAAAACTCTGTTGCTGCATTCATGAACAACAAAAACTACACCACACTCATTTCAAAATACTGTTATATTGCCTAAGCTCTTAGAGTTTACCTTGAGGACCTGATGCTTCTTTTAGAAAAAAAACACTCAATACTAACTTTTCATTTACAATTTTCTCATGCAATCTCATCATCATCCAATGCTTGATAAAAAGCAGAAGCAAGTCTTTTAAAAAAATAAATTTTGGTAAACAGACTTAATTTAAAATATTGCCTCAACTACAAGTATGATTACAAAATGAAATTTATGTCGAATATTGCCATGATTTGTAGCTTTCTCTTTCAAGATTAGTAAATATTTATATAAGCTGAAAAAGAAAATGGGATTAAATATTTATCTTTGAGAAAAATTTGGGAAGCAACAGTCTAAAATCCCCAAAATCATGAACACATGTGCAATAAATCTGAGTTTTAAGGTACAAATTCAACCAACCTCAGTGACAAACAACAAACCCTACCAAATTCAGAAACTGGATGGAGGCCAGTAATCAAAAATATTTTGGATAATTCAAGCCCTTTGATCAGACAGCCAATACTTTTCATAGTGCTTAAATTATATCTCAATGACACCAAATTGTCCCATTTCAAAGACAAAATTGAACTAAATAGTGGGTATTGTAAATAATTGTTAATTGTTGATAAAACGTCTCTGCTTGAGTGCTCTTTTAAATTACCAAGCTGTGTTCAAATAAGCTGGAGTTTGATTAGGTTCAAATACACAATGTTTGATTGTCTGTTGATAATGGTGAGAAAATTAAACCTTTGCTGAACACTCACAACCAGTATTATATCAGATGCAATATCCTCATGCTGCTACAATATCTTCACCTCAAAACATAAAATTTCAACTTATTTAAACTTCCTGTTTACACCCAGTAAAAAACAAGTCCAACTTCAAAATTTTGAGCCCTCGTGATTTTATTTCGAGTTTCTGAATATAAAATCCATTTGACCTTTGGGTCACTAGTCAAAAAGTCGCTCTATTTAAAGATAAAAGACCATATAAAACTGCAGATCTATCTGTTGAGTTTCATTTAGCTGTCAGCTAAGTAACGGAAGAAAAAATGTTTTGGGTGGAAGGTCTACCAGAATGGCAGTAATAAGAGGTTGTGTCGACATACACAAAATATCCTAAATAACGAAATTACTACTGCGCTGGTAAAAACAGAGTGTGAGCTTTAAAATTGAAGTAATTTCACTTACCAAATCCGCCGCCACCGATCTTCTTGTCCTGTTGGTTAAAAGAAAAGGATGCACTTGATAAAAACGATTGTGGCACTATGTAATTAAAACATGACATTCTCAATTTATGCGGACGTTCGTTATGTAACTAGCGATCAAAATCTTACAAAAGATGAGTTATTGACAAAGCTAATTTAAGGTTCACTGCAGAATAAAGTCTGCTCTCGCGATGGATGCAAACTTAAGAGATTTCAATGCGAATTGTCACATTCAACATGCAGAAATGATAATATGACAAACAAAAGGAGAATTATCTACAGGTAGCCTTGACATGTACACAATTATTTACATTTGCACAGCAGTATTGGCCAAAGTACAGTTTTGGAATAAAACATTTAGTGTATGTAATGTTGCCTTTCTGTATTTAAAAAATTTCGCCCTGCAGCCAGCTATTTAAAAGTACTACTGGCGATTGTAAACTAGCGCAGATTAAGGCCGAGTTTAAACATGGATTTGTGTTGCAGTCCCACTTCAGTCTCGATTACTAAATCGAGCCGGCATTTCCTTGAAATTCGCTAGGTTGCGAAATCACGGAAATTTCTGTAAGCAGTTCGACTTTATGTGTTCCGAGAATCTAGAATTAAATGTCGGCGAGTCGACCTCGTTCCTCCATTATGTACACCAGGGAAAAGCAATAATATCAACCACTAGTGCGAAAAAAATTTCAGCTGTTCCGATTATGACTGCGCGGTTGCCTCCTTAGATTTACACTTGAGACTGAAATTAGGGAGACAAATCGAAACTCACAGGCACAAAAAATAGTCGAAAGTTATAACAAGGGAACTTTAATTAACAACATAGAAAGGTAAATATCACGAGGTTGAACGTTTTAAAAAATATTTCCCGACGGAACTAGTTTTAAAAAGTCAAGCGTTCGCTACTTACGATTTTCCATCTTTGCCTCACCACGTCGCCCGGTGTAAGAAGATCCGCCATTAGCTACCTGCCCTTTATAACGCTAAAACCGAGTAAAAACATTGGAAAATGATTATAGGAGAGGAACTCTCCCACCATCCAATTGCTGTTGCAATACTACACAACTCTAAACCACTATAGATGACTCATGTTCCCTTCTTTTTATGTAAAAATCAACGAATATCAATGAACTAGCCGCAGCGATAATAATAGTCCGTTGATTTATCTGAGACTACGACAAGAGCATCTAACCGCCAGCGGAAGTACACAAAGAAATTGGAGTGAGTCATCCCTACACAGCGGTAAACTACTATTATAGGTTAATACGTGGTATGATAACCTCATCCGTAATTTCACAACATGGCGGAACGCCGGCAGGGAAGGAAAAGGAAACACAAAGGTAGAAGATCGTGCAGTGTCCGACACATCATTTATTAGCTGTGGAAAATGAAAAATTTGCAAGAATTCTGTGCACTTGGAAATGGAACTTCGTTAATCGTGTGGAATACAAATGATTTTGGCCCTTGTTTCAAACTCTTATGCCTTGTGCTCCCAGCCAATATTTTCTTGATTTGTTCGAGCATATTCTTTTCTAGTGGAAAAAGGCAGCGATTTCAACTTCCGGAAAGTCGCCTTTACTTGTTCTCAAATCTGCAAATTCTAGTTTCTTTTTCGATATTTTTAGAGTCACTGATTGAAGTTTTGTGCTCATGGTTTGTTAATCATTATCACCCCCCGGTTTATCTTGTTACGAGTTCGCTTGTGGCAATAGCATGGATTTCAAACGCTGTCTGTGTGCGGAGAAACAGGGTGGTTATCCTCGTGAAAAAATGCTACGCTACAGTTCATATCATGTTTATAATTTTGGCATTTTTTATGACAACTTTACAGTTATATTCTGTCATTTTGAGCATCAAGAGACAAAGTTTTGATTCACTACTTGTTTACGAATATGGCACTATATGCAGATTTTCTCTGCAGATTATCTTTCTGCTGCTTCTTATACCACCAATTTGTGTAAACCGAGATTGGATTGGGTTGCATGTGGAATTCTCGTCGTCAGCTGCATCCACCGATATTCAGGGCAGCACAGAAAGAGATGCATTGTTGCGAAATGCGTCGAGAGGTACATTTTACAGTGGAACACAGTGTATCTCTGATGACCTTGGAGTTGCAGAGGAAAAAGCTAATATTTTATCTAAATTAACATTCTGGTGGGTGAGACCTATGATGAAAAAAGGTTCAAAGGGAAATCTTCAATATACAGAAGATCTGTTTTTACTACCTCAAAGTCTTTCGACCAAACGGCTAAGAATTCTTTTTTCAGCTAATTTTGATAGTTCAACTGAGGATCTTGATGCAAGGAATAAACTAGAAGACAGCTTTTCAAGTGAATCTGGTTATGGGGGTATTACGTTTTCGCCAGGCACTATACAGAAGAGTGTTTCAGATCCAAATTTTAGACGATATTCCAATGTGAGAAGAATGACAAGTAATGGTAGCCATGCTAGCACAGAATTTTCTGAAAAGGAAGGTAATGGGTCAGGTCCTGAAGTAAGTAATCCACGATCTCTCTTAAGTGCTCTTCACCATTCATTTGGTCTGCAGTATTACTGCATTGGACTTCTGAAGTTAACAGGAGATGCTCTCAGCTTTGCAGGTCCGCTTTTGCTTCATGCACTGGTGTCTTTCATGGAAAATAGACAGGTTAGTCAGTGCCCTAAGCTCAATGCTTTTCAAAGCTGCCATTTGATAGCCTAAAGTGATGAAATGGTTGCCAGAAAGGGAAATAGATGAGCACCTTGACATGAATAACAAGCAATAATTATTACTCAAACGATAGTGGAGCAACACTTGAGCTGTAAGCGAACTATTGTAAATTATGTGCTTGTTCAGCTGCTTGCCATAATGATAATTTGGTATAATGTGACTATATCACTAACATCTACCATTTTCTTCCAGGAACCAATGTCTCATGGCTATTATTATGCTGGTGGACTGTTCCTGACAACATTTTGTTCAGCTTTTATAAATTCACAGTTTAATTACTGGGTTAGTTGATATGTCATTGTTATTTCCGTGGTAAGAAAGAAAATCAAGAAAGCTGATTGACTTTGTAAGCCTTTAGAGATCTTCTTTTGTAAAGTGATGGCCACGGCTACCCCCGTGACTTGCATAATGTATATGTGTACATAATTTTACTACATTGACCCTCTAACTCCCAAGATCTGATTGTTAATTCTCTCCTCTTGCTGCTACACAATTCCATGTAAACTAGTTGTGAGAATTTGGTGTAAGATCAAGATAAAAACTTTAATTTTTGTGATAAGTTTTATTATTCTCATTAACCGTTTGCTAGAAAATGTATAGATATCATAAGGAGAAATTACATGTTAGTCACTTCTGGGAGTTAACAACACAATAGTTATACTTACTACAAGTGAAGTTGACTTGCAACTGTTCACCATGGTTCTGCACAGTATGAAGCTGTGGGCACTTATGTTATGTTCTTTTTATTTCAAAGTAATTTTTGATCAATTTATTTGATGTTTGACAGATGATTATTTATTTGTTTTTGTGGTTTCCTCAGGTAAACAGAGTTGGCCTGAAAATTAGAGCTTCTGTTATTACTACAGTGTACAACAAAGCATTGTCTGTCAGCCTTACCACTTTGTCCGAGTTTACAACAGGAGAAGTATGAAATTAAAATTTTGCATCCTTCCAATGGATCTCACGTAATTGGCACTTAGGTTTTCTAGACACAGAGAGTATATAATGCATATTTTCTTTGAGATAAGTCGAAAGTTTTTCAACAATTCCATAAGAGGTAATATCAGGTGTGGATCCTCAGAGAGCTCAGAAACTCTTAATGGTGGCCAATTTACATTTTTAACTCAGTTAATAAAGCCAAATTATCTTTTAATAATGAAAAGCCAATTTTCAAAGAAAGGCTACTTTGTACTTTTAAAGTTTTGATTTTTTTTCAATATTCATCAGGTAGTGAACTTCATGAGTACAGATACAGATAGGGTGGTCAATTTTGCTCCAAGTTTTCACCAATTCTGGAGTTTGCCATTTCAGATTGGGGTATCACTGTATCTTCTCCATCAGCAGGTAAAATGCTTTTTGATCTTCATTTGAGAATGGAATTTTTTTCAACGTAAATCCTAGTCATGAAGCCTCCAAATAAACTTATATCATTCAGTGACTCTTTACCTTAGGTTGGTGTTTCTTTCTTGGCTGGCTTGGGCTTTGCCATTCTTTTGATACCCATCAACAGATGGTTGGCAGAGAAGATTCAGAAATTAAGCAAGGAAATGATGGCACAGAAGGACAGTAGAGTTAAGGTGGAGATCTCAAATAGACATTTTTTATGTATATGTATTGGGAGGTGCAGTGGTAGTACAATGAGGGTACATGTACTGGATTCTGGATCAAGAATTCCTGGTTTGAGTCCCAGCCATTGTGTTTTTGAGCAAGACACCTGAACCCTCCTTGCTTTATTAAACTATAGACTGAACAATAATCATTGCGAATGTTAATGTAATCTGTTGACCACAGATATGTTTGCTTTCCATTTGGGTAGGTTATGAATGAAATTCTACAAGGGATAAGAGTGATAAAATTCTATACCTGGGAGAAAAACTTTGAAGAGAAGATAGACAATTTAAGGTTTGTATGTTTTTCTGAAAACTTTTTATGGAGTCTCTCAAAAAATTTCACCCACCACATAATAGGAAATGAAGATTTATTCCAACCTGATTTAGTTTTGCAAATCAGTAAGACCAAATCATGAATTTTTGGTGGGAGTGATTGTTACTTTCGTGTAATTTAATCAGTCACTGTAACTAGAAAGTTAATTTGCACTGTGAAAGTGTGCATCTTCATTTTTTCCAAGGTAACTCACACATATGTGTGCCTAAGTTTCTTTTAAAAAGTTTGCAATGATCATGGGGCATTGAATTGTTGAAATATAATGTTCTAAATGTGCTGTGTGAACAATTAGGTTTTTTCATATTTGTGGGGAGGATATTCTTTCATATTCTATGATATTATATAATCATTCTGGAATATCAACTTGTATTAAAGCTTTGTGTTTTTCCTTAGAGCTGCAGAATTGAAGAGTTTGAAAGGAAGGAAATACCTGGATGCTTGGTGTGTGTACTTTTGGGCAACAACACCAGTTATCATCTCCATACTGACTTTTACAACATATGCTCTGCTGGGAAATAAGCTTACTGCAGCTAAGGTGCATTAAAAAATTCCCCCATACAATCTGTTATCAATTTTGTGCTGAAAACTTTGTACAGGAAAATGTGAGGAACTGCTAATGTGAGCATACTGTAAAGCTGTACCCTTGTATCCTCTGTATGTTGCTGTACCCAGTTAATGAAATTCCTGATGCATCATATTCTTGCCAGGTCTTTACAAGTGTGGCATTGTTCAACATGTTAATCTCTCCACTGAATGCCTTCCCTTGGGTACTCAATGGATTGATGGAAGCCTGGGTATCAGTCAAAAGGATCCAGGCTTTTCTCTCTTTAGACAACCTGGACCTGACTGGTTACTACCAGCAGCCAAACCACTCAGACAAAGAGGATAGTAAGTGTTGATTGAACAAGTATTTTTTGGGGGGGGTTGAAGAAAAAAGAGAGAAAAATGTATGGCACAGGTATTTTCAGCCTCAATTAATGTAGTTTTGTTATTAACAGAGACACAAAGAAAATATAGGAGGTGGAGCTGGAAATTTTGTCATGCTGATTCCCTTAAACTCCTAAAGGTCACCAGGCATTTAGGCT